GCAAGTCTGAAAGTACAATTCTCCCGCCGTCTCCTTTACAGCCCAAGAAACTAGGGAGGTTTGTTTCTGAGCCTCTTGCCCTGCCCACTATCCAGCCGCAGGCTATGCTGTCTCTTATCTGACCATTCCCTTGGAAGTATCTCTTGACCCACTCTCCCAAGGCCCTTCCCACATACCATTACATAATCAAACCTTAAGCACTATACCACATTGGTTCTCTGTTTCTTATGTTTCCAGTCCATAAGGGATAGAGATCAATGATAAGAGCTCTTCCTGGTTTTTTTGGTACAGTTGTTTGCTTCTAATTCTTGTTTACCTTTTGAGAATAGAAGTGATTTTTTTTATCTGTTTGAATTTTCCTTTAATATTTTGGAGCTTTGTGAAATTTCTGTGGTGATGAGGGGCAGATAATATGTGAGAAGCAAGAGCTATTTATAGGGGATAATCTACATTGTACTTGACATGCTTGCCAGTTTTCTACCCAAAGATCTGTTTATAATTACAATAATCTCTAGTTGGACTGAATAGATGGAATATTCTTCATACTTTGAATGGGGAAAAATACCTCTATTTTAAATGTAATTCTTTTATCATTCATCTCTTTATGAATAGTGGTGCCTTTCCTACCAATTCTGTCTGCTATCTTGCAAACATACCACTAATTACAAAAAAACCCTATTTTTTACTTGGAACCAGAATAATCGCTGCTGTCCTAAAACTTCTATTGCGGCATATGTGAGCTATACTTAAGCCAACATCCCAGTGCTCATTCTTGGGCTTTTAACTGCTTTCCATCAGTTTCCAACAAATTAGTAATGAGGAATTATTGCAAGAATGATTAACTTTGTAATGGAAAGTAATGCTCCTGCTCTAGTTGCTGCTACTTGGAGCTTAGAAAGAGATCTAGGCCCTCCTTCAGTTATTTTATTAAAACATCCAAAACACAAAGATATACAATACTTTAATGGGACCTACTCAGCCATCACAAAATAGGCAAGTTTTTGCATTTTCCAGAACTTGAAAGTTATTCATTGAGTTCTGGCCATGTCCTATTTTGGTCTTGCTGTAGATTTTTTCCTCCTAACAGAATGAATTGCTTTGATTACTACATTTTCTGAAGAAGCCAGTAACTCATAAATCAAAGCAATAGGTATGTATAAGAAATGTATAAGAATCTATAAGAAAATACATGGCCCTTTTCTGCTGTGGCACCCATGCTGTGGAACCTTCTTCCCCCTGAGGTGAGTTTGGCCTCCTCACTGTTGAGCTTCTGGATGTCCCTCAAGACCTGGTTGTGTCAGCAGGCCTGGAGACCCCAGGGGATGGGTGAGCTAGTGAGGTGGCTCCATTATTTTTAACTTCCCTTCATCCATTATTTTCTGTTCCACTTGGTTGTTTTTTTAAAATATTTTTATACTTTTTAATGTATTTATTTATTGTTTTTTAACCTTGTGTACACTGCCTAGAGTCACTTGGATAAAGGGAGATGGTGGTTGATAAATTGAGTAAATAAATAAAATATATGTATAATAGGTATGTATAAGAAATGTATAAGAAAAAGACTAGGGCAGAAAGAAGGACTGGGAGTTGAAGCTATGGGAAGTGAGTGGCAGCTAATGGAGCATAAAACTGGGTGTAATGTAGCCTGCCTCATAGACCCCCAAAAGGGAGCCTATTCTCCACAAACAGACCTCAACATCCCCCCACTTCAGCTCTTGAAGTAAGACACTACCACTAGTCTAGTTGGCTGCTCTGTGTGGAATAGAGATGGGAGCATCTGCTTCCTTACTTCATGAGTAAATCCAGGCTTGAGTTAGGCAAACTCTATGGAACCATCCTCACATTATTTTATATAAAAAGTAGTAGGATTGTGATCCCCCAAACCATGACCTGGTTGCTTTATTCCAAGAGCCTTGTGGCTTAGATTGCTAGCTAGCCAAGTACACAGTCTACCTAGTGAGTGCTCAGGCTGCTTAAATAGCCCTAGTACAGTGAATTAATTACACTTAATTAAAAGTTAAATTAACATTGAGTTATAATAATTTAATACAGTTAATATGATTATTCTATCACTTTATTTGCACAACACGCTTCAGTAGCAGAGGATGGGTGATTACTAAATGCTGCATCTACAAATCCAAATCTATAGTTCTGATTGCATTCTTGGAATCGTGCACTGCTTGTGGCTTAGAAAACAAAGAAAAACTATGGTGGATGTTTCCCGCCCTTTGAGGAATATACAGATCTTTGGGCTAGAATTGCTGTTATTTTCTTTCTCTTTTTCATTCAGAATGGTCTTTTGTAATGCTTGAACTCTAGCCTGAAAAATGTACCAGTGTATTAATTTTGAGTCATCTGAAGTCTGTCAAGGATCCAGATGTGTTTCTCAGGCTGGTTTGTGTCCATGGAGCTAATTTGGAGCTGCTGCCCCACCCCTTTCCTATTATAAAGATATTACTTTTGAAAGTCACATTTCCAGATGTTCATACAATGAGGGCAATCCTGTGGGTTACACCATAATGTTCCCCTCTTCACTGCAGCATCTCAAGAGAGCCCCCTGCTGTACGGTATTCTCTAAACCAGTGTTTCTCAACCTTGGCAACTTTAAGATGTTTGGACTTCAACTCCCAGAATTCCCATCCAGCATGCTGGCTGGAGAATTCTGGGAGTTGAAGTCCACACATCTTAAAGTTGCCAAGGTTGAGAAACACTGTTCTGCCCAGTTCAGAGCCTTGTTTTTTCAGGATTCTCAGTGGCCTAGTACAAACCCTTTATATACAGAATCTCTCTGGCTATTTTATACAGGTTGTTAAGGAGAACTCAGGTATGAAGATACGGTTGTTAAGGAGCAACCTCTGCCAGTGCAATGCAGTTCATCCTCCTGTACACAATCATAATATTTCAAAGGAGTGTTATGAATATACCTATTACAAAGTAGGATTGTGAGATATCATTTACAAACTAGAGCTGGGATCTTCATTGTGGTGTCTGCAGGCCCCAAATTGCCTATAGACATTCCTTGGACATCCACCAGGCTCCTTAAGTAAAAGCTTCATGCATAATCTTTATTTCTAAGAATGATTTCAGACCCTTTATTCCTAAGGCACTCTTGGAACATTAATAATGCTAAATGAGTGCCGCCCAGTAATTTGTTTGGAAGTATGCCCAGAAAGCAACATAGATAAATTGAGGTAGCAGGAAGCATTGTGGTAATGGGGAGCAATCTCACCTGTTTACTTTCAATTAAATGAGTTGAATGTTTTTGTCCCTCTTGGCAGCCATTTTCTGTCAGCCTTACTAGGTAGACCAGACAGAAAACATGACTAGATGAGCTAATTCTACTTTATTGTAAAGCTACATTAACAGAATCTTGCAAGTCTGAAAGTACTTCTCTCCCCACATCCCCTCTACAGTCCCAAAACAAGGGAGGGTCCCTTCTCAGCCTCTTGCCCTTCCCACATTCATGCTGCAGGCTCAGCTCCCTTTTATCTGATGGTTACCTTGGCTGGTCTCTTTGCCCTGTCTCCCAAGGTCATTCCCACATACCATTACATTTTCTGAGAATACTCATAACATGCTCTCAATTTTCCAAATCTATCCACTGGGCCAAAAAAGATAGGAAAACCTTTGTAAATAGCATTACATTCCTGTAAAGCAAAAGTATTGTCTTTACTTTTTTTTAACTTCAGGGTACTCGTGCAATTAGATTCTCCTATGGTGAATAAAAATTACCTCCAGGCAATCAGGTGTAATACTGCAACTGAAGAAGTGTTCTTTCTTGGGCTTAATACTTTGATAAGTATCATAACATTTTTCTTAAATAAAATCGGTATTCCATCTCTTTGATAATATGAAACATGCAGGTGCCTTCCCCAGGCTGGGCTTAAATTTTGTGGCTTATTCAACAACCCATGGTTAAAATATGGCTTAGTGCAATGGTGAATCCAGCAATTACTTGAAATATCTCCCTCCCTCAGTTCCATGGTATAAACAAAATCATTTCTAATTTTATTTATTATAGCATGTCAGTTACTGTAACCAATTATAGTTGATCCCTCAGTGTAATTTAACAACTTCTCAACTTCAAAGTGATTTAGGATTTTTTACCCATTATGGGGGGGAAAAAACAACTCATAAGTATACCTATTTTAATATGAGTATGTAATTTTAAGATGTTGAAGTCCCATAGTCTCAGAATTCATGATAACCAAACCACATTCATTTAGGTTCCTGCATACAAAACTAATAGCTTAATTTTCAACAGCTCCATTGACAAATCCCAGAAATTTACTGGAATTATAGCTGATAAGTCTGAAGGCAAAGAGACAGCTCCTCCTACTGTTTGAAAGGAGAGAGGAAGTATCTTGAAGGATCAAAAGTGTACTCAAAATTCTATGTATTTTTCCATTTCTTGTTCACGAATTCTGGTTTATTTGGCTAAATCTCCAAATCTCCATGCAGATCTCCACTTATTTCACTTCATGGGATGAGAGAATGTTCAGAGTATAATAAGATAATACTTACTGTGCTTGCTGATAACACTGACACATTCAATGAATGCTATGAATAAATCCTGTTTTCATATAGTACTGTTCTTTCTTTGGGTCTTTCTGTATTACTGAATAGAAGTGCTATTCACCTACCCTTCAGCTGGCAGAAAATTATACCAGTATGAAATGTGTTGTCCCTACTGCCAGCTCCTATACTGCCTCTATTGCGTCTGTTCCCAGATCCTGCCAGCACTATGACTTCCCTTCAAGTTAATGGATGACAAAGCCTAACAGATTTTTACCCTCCTTGGGACTGCTCTTGGATGCTGTCAAAATAAAAGACAAAACTATTTTAATCTCGGAACAGCCAAAGATAACTTAAGGTTGTCTTACTCTTCCACCGCGGGTGAGATGACATAACAGCAACATCATGGGGACATGTCAGAGGAATGATGTTGGCAGGACATTTTGAGTCATGATTAGATGCAACAGGAGAAAGAATTTGTCTATAATTGTCAGTCATTTACCAAGATTGTAAGAAAACCCTATATATGTACAGTTTTCCAAGAATAGTCTATTCATACCGGTTATTTAACATTAACAGGCTTGGGGCAAGTCCAGCAGTCTGTTCTCAAGTAGCCAGCCAACTGCACAAGGAAGCCCACTAGTCTTGCAACAGATGGCCTTCAGAGCCAGTCACGCTGCCTACCATCAATGCTAATAGTAATACTACTATTCCTTCCTTCCTCCACACATTCAACATAATGGCAATGTTCATGCATAATGGGACTGGGTTGCTTTTGGCTTGGAATGCAAACTCAAATCCAACTGATTTAAGAATTATTGTTACACAAACCATGGTTTAGTGTGATTGTGTAAAAGGTGTGCTTTGTATAAAAGCAATGTATTCCATGCTGAAATGTTAAGTCATAAATGGTGTATGAGAGAGAAAGTAATGACAAATATAAGATGCCATTTAATGTAGCAGTATCAAATATTACTAAATGACCATTCTGTTTTTAACAGGTCCTCAGCAAGGGTGCGGTGGTTACTTGACCCATGCAAGTCATAACTTTGGCTCTCCAGATTCCAACAAGGATGGGAAATACGATAAAAATGTAGAATGTGTGTGGGTTTTAGTTGCACCTATAAACAAGCTGATCAATCTCACCTTTGACACTTTTGAACTAGAAGCAGCAGCATCTTTTCAAAATTGCCAATATGATTATGTCAAGGTAAGATCATCCAAATGCCAGACTGCAAAGCAATTGTGCCTATTTTTCTTTCCACTCCAAAGCATATCTTAGGGCAGTGATTCTCAGCCTTGGCCACTTGAAGATGTGTGGACTTCAACATCTTGAAGTGGCCAAGGTTGAGAAACGCTGTCTTAGGGATACAAGGAAGATATGAGTTCCAAATAAATCTAAAAAGAAATGTTCTGACATGACACAAAGATAGAAAACTGAATTCAAAGGCAGCAAGCTAACAAGCAATTACTAAGTGCCTGCCTTTGCTGAAAATGCCTCTTTATGAAATCAAAATAAAATTGATTCAGCTCAGATGTACATATGCTGGCTTATCCTTATGAATACAGTACTATGCTTGTGTATCCTGCTCTCATACCATCTCATTCCACCTTGATAAACTACTGTGAAGGTAAACCTAGGTTAATAAATCATAGTTTTCATTACATCTCAATCAGGAAACAGACCAGGATCCTTAGTTGTCTGTATCTTTGATTTATTGACCTACTTTTCAAGGCAGCAAGCAAAATACAGAAGTTACTTTCAAATCATGGTACCAGGTCTGGTGATATCGTTTCCTGACTTGGATATAACAGGACACTTAACCTACCCACTGTGTTGCATCAAAAAGAGATGATCATCCACTTATTCATTGAGCCAGTTACTTTTCTGATGCCATAGAAGCCTAATTTTATGTATTTCTGTTATTTTAGCTATATGATGGTAGTAATGAAGATGCCACTTTAGTTGGAACATTCTGTGGCTCCAGTCGTCCACCTTATTTTCTTTCTACTGACAACTTCTTGACTGTTAAGTTTGTCACTGATACATCTTTAGAAAGAGCAGGTTTCACTGCTACCCACACTACTGTCGATAGTAAGTATCATTTTACATTTCTTCTAAAAAGTTTTCTGGGAATAAATCATTGTTCCTTTAACTTACATAACTTCAGAGAGTCTCAGAAATATAGCCATTGGGAATCTAAAAGTGAGCAATTAAGAAAATTAAGTACAGTATTGAAAAAAAAATCATCTTCTCTGATGAGCCTTTAAAAGGGTTAATACTTCTCAGCCTGAGTGGAGAACAGTGGTGACTATAAAATGTAGAGCTTAGAATTCTTGGGTCTAATTTTGCAGAACATAATTTTGATGTGGCTTTCAGATTTTTCAATATAAAAGTGATTCCTCTGTTTTATATCTAAACAACAAAGATAAATTTCTTTAAACTTGGGTCGTCAAGTCCTTTGCACTGAACGCATTTCTTGTGGCAGTTTCATTAGTTTGTACAAACATACTTTCAAGCCAATATTACTTTGTAATATTGTAAGATGCCAAATTGCAGTACTTACCAACTTGCAAAATCAATTAAGCTGTTGTGTTGTTGCTTTTATAGGATTGTGTGGGGGTATCTATAATGCCACTGCTGCCATACAAACAGTATCATCACCCTATTTTCCAAATGTATATCCACCATTTACATTCTGCAAATGGGTAATTGATGCCCCTCCTGAGCAACAGGTCAAGCTAGTAGTCCTGAAATTCCACCTTCAGCCCAGCCAAGATTGCTCTCAGAATTACCTAGAGTTCCAGGACTCGCCACTGGTAAGTCACTTAGTCTTAGTCCTAGGATAGCTAGAAATATGTTCTTTCATGGGTTGAAAGGTTAAAATAAAAGTAAAGATACCCTCAAGTCAAACTTGCGCCTCAGTGACTTAATGGAATGCAGCTCTGTAGTTTCTCAATGACAATACAGAAATGGTTTGCTGTTATCTTCTACCAGTTCTTTTTTTAACTTACCAGTCTAGCCCTCAGCCCTGGTATTCTCCAGTGGTCTCCCACTGAGATGCTCCTAGGCCCAACCATGCTTCCATACCTGGGCAGATGCTGCCATCTGCTAAGACAAAGATTGTTGAGGAGGTGGCAATCCCAATGTGGGTTACAGTGATCCATGACTTGCCCGCTATAAAGCTCCTCTTTGTTCAAACCTTTCATTGCTTGATGGCAAGTGCCAAATTAGATCTGAATGCAATATTCATTCATTCATTCATTCATTCATTCATTCATTCATTCATTCATTCATTCATTCATTCAATTTATATAGCTGCCCATCTCAGACCAGTGACTCTGTGCTAACAATAAT